AGGGTTTAGGAGTTTCGGGTTTCGGGGTTTAGGGTTCAGGGTTTCGGCTTTAGGGTTTACTGTAGGGTTCAGCCCATCGTGGCCTTCAGCCACAAGCAGGGCGAGTTGGGTGGGGAAGCCCCCCTCTCCCGACAGCAGAGACTTCACCCAAATCCCAAAACTGGTATAGGGGTGTTGATATCTGGCACTGAAGGCTGCGAGCTAATAGCATGTTGGCATCTTCTGCATTCTCATCAGCTAGAGGGTGAAGACTTCCGTGTCCAGGAGTCCATAATCCACCACATTATCTAGCCCTAAACGTTGAACCCTAAACCCTCAACAAAGAATTGACGGGACGTCTCTGACAACACCCCTGCGGTGTGAGCACTGGGAAGGCTTCAAGGACAGAGGTCTCCTTTGGGCGCGGAGGGCGGGCATCTGAAGCTCTGGGATTTAGGAAGCTGGGAGTTCTCCTTTGAGGCGGAGGATGTCAAGGAATAGACGTCCTGACCCTCTCGAAAAAACCCGAGTGGGCCGGTCAGGCAGGAAGCCCTTCTGAGCTTCCAGCAGAAGCACGGCCATTAGAGATCTGTTTCGGACTTAGGTTGAAGGTTTAGGGTTGAGGAATTCGGGGTTTGGGTTTGCAGGGTTTAGGGTTTAGGGCTTGGGTTGTGTGTACAGGTTTTAGGGTACAGGGTCTGAGGCTTTGAGTTTTGGGGGTTATCGGTTCGACCACACCCACACAGGCGAAGCAGCTGGCGGAGCTGGGGATCGCCTTTGCGGAGCCGCTGCCGTTGAAAACAAGGCTCAAGGCTTGATATAGGGATCACCAATCAGGGTTTGTACGACATACATACATACATACATACATACATACATACATACATACATACACACCTACATAGTTCTGTTTGTGTATATACACAAACAAATAAGTAAATGAATAAATAAATGAATGAATCGATATATATGTATATATAAAGGCACCGTGAGGAATAGGATTACTCACTACCCACGCGTTCTCAGGCCCCCTTTTACTTGGGTTGGACTTTGGGTTGCCGTGGGTTTCCACTCCGGGGCCAAGCATCCTCTACTATAAAGGAGCATTCGTATGTACGATAGGTTTTAGGGTTTAGGATTTAGGGTTTAAGGTGTTTTTTTGCGCATAGTGTAGGTATATGTATAGTAAGGAACCCAAAAGAATAGTATGACTAAAAACTTGGGCCTGTAATTATCTCAAACACGGCGACAATAACAATCACGATGATACGAGGTTGCATTCAGAAGAAAAGAAACTTCATGTTGGCCATAGCAAAAAACCTACTGGTACACACAGTAATAGTAGTAGTCGACGTCGTCGCGGTGGTGATGGCTACTATAAACCCCAGTACCTTCATGCATATATATATATATATATAACCTGTGCAGCTGCATCTGGTTTCAGTATCCTGACAGACAAGGTCTAGAACCCTAAACACTAAACCCTAAAACCCTAAAACCCTAAACCGAAATCTCGGATCTTGAACTCCAAGCGGTGTAGGACCTGGAGCACGGCACCTGCCTCAAACCAAAACTCCTAAAACCTGTGCACCCAAGCTCAAAACACTGAATGCAAAGAGCTTGCTCCTCACCCGACAACCCGAAAACTCCCGAAGCCTGAATCCTAGGGCTTTGCGCAGCAACGGAGCAAAGCAAACCCAAAGCATCAGCCGAAAATGATCCGCATTGGATCGGCGCCACTACGAGGCGAAAACTGCGCGAAGCGGCTGACGGGAGCACAGACCTACGGTCGCCGAGCTGGTCTGCATATGGGTAGTTCTCTAAATTAGGATGCATTTTAGGTCCCGAAGTTTAGTACGGCATCCTTATAAAAAGAACCCTAAAGGGGCCCCTAATTTAGAGAACTACCCATATCAACTCTGCGTGATGAAAGCATGAATTATGCATCCCCTAAACCCAAAACCCAAGCTTATGCCCCTGGATCCGTCACGCAGAAATGCTCTGGCATTCTCCAAAAAATCTCTTCCCGACCTTGTCCAAGATGAGGATATCAGTGACATCACAGCCTGCACTACAAATCATACTACAAGGGTGACGATGGGGACAGTAAGGTTTACAAGAAGGATGACTACAAGGCTTAATATACAGGTTGCTGTAAAGGTCTTAGAGTTCTGCGATTGGAGAGGTCGGGATTGAATGTCTAGTCTAGTCCGAAAGGAAGTAACAAAGCAAAAGCACTGTTGAATCCCCTCTTTGCTGTCGTGGTTAGCCCTACATCCTAAAGCCTAGGCTTTCCCTATCCCGCTTTCTCTTGCTACGGACTGCGGAAAACCTCGCACTGCACACAGCAACAACGACAACAACATGTGTAAAAGCCGAAGACGCATGAGGGCTCCAAGCAAAAACCTGCAAAAAGAAGGCCAAAATGCAGAGAGCCCAGCGAGACGATTCATTCATTCGTATCACGTAAGAGTGCCTGTATTATGCGTTTGCAATCGCCGCACCTGGGCGCTTGTGTCTTGAAACACCTGTTCCTGCATTCACTCAAGATGGACGGACGGGTGTGGAGCCGCTCAGATGGCAACGGTGTCGCTGAACTCCCTGGAGCACATGGAGACCTGCATCAAAAGGAGGCACATCCGGAACCCAAGTTCGCAGGTGAGTAGTTGTGATGTTTGCTTTCACCGATACTGTTGACGTTTAGTACGGCTGGGAATAAGAATTGCCTTTAGCTCTGGTGGCTCTCTGAAGATGTTTGCAGCAGTAGTAGTAGTAGTAG